GGTCAGCGAGCGCCGAGAGCTTCGTTATGTCTCCGTCGGCAGACTTTTCCAAGGTTCTCGCGTACGTGAATTTGTCCCAATCTACTCTGGCCAATGGCTTATCTGAGAATAGGCAATATTTCAAGCATACCAACATATCCTCTTTCGTTCGACAGCTCAACATGTACGGATTTCACAAAGGTTAGAACGCCGCTCAGCTCGAATACGGGCAAGTTCCAAGGCTGACACGACGTAGTAAGCGATGTTTTTCACACTACCAACCCGGAGACTGCTCTGTGGGAATTCAAGCACGGAAATGGCAACTTCAAAAGGGGCGATCTCGTCGGGCTGCGGGAGATTAAGCGCAGAGCTTCTCGGCATGCTTTAGTCCACCGAGAATATCCCAACTCCAAGCCGAGCCCGTCGCAGCCAGGGACCCCGGCGGAGCCGATGCCCCCTCCCAACGACGGCTCAGATCCTCGAATGGGTGGCATTGAACACACGCTTTACGATATGAGCATGCGCTTGCAGAGAAGCGAAGAGAACGCACATTACATGCACGTGAGACAACAGGCTGTGATGGAGACAATGTCGCGTCTCCTTCAATTCAATCAAGAGCTGTCGCGGACTATTTTGAACCTGGTTCCTAGCCCAGATAATCCAGTTCACAGAGATGGTGAGTTCCGCCTCTTATGAGGGCGAGCGAATTCACTGACAGTCAGCAATTAGTTCTTAACCTGCAGGCGGAAATGGCCCGCCAGGCGGATATGCTTCGGACAATTGACGACCCTCAAGAGTCCCCTTTCGCCAATAGCCGAGCTTATTTTTCCAACGTCGAAAATGCCCCTGTTTCGCCCCGACAAGTACCCCAAGACGACCCAAGACGAGCCAATCTTGCAGTTCCTCAGCCAAGAGGGCAGAATTTCTACCGGCCTCCCGTACCTTCAAACTTATCCATTAGCACGCGACGACCGTACGGGTCAATTGGCGGGAGTTCCGCGCCCCAGGCCTCATCCCCCTTGAGGGGAGCGCCACCTCCACCTCCGCCGGGACCTCATCCCTTGGCTCAGGTTGAGCCGCCTCCTGGAAGCCTTGCCAGACGCCACACGTCTGCCGATATTCGCGCGCATGGTTGGCAGCCAGCCGCCCCGCCGTTCGCTTCCGGTCCTCCCTCCGGGCCCCCTTCAGGACCGTGGCCATCGTCGCCCAGTCGGCTCGCACCAGAGGACCAACGTCTCAGGGAGTCGTTGTCTACTTACTCACTACAAGGTGCTACTCAGTCACGCCCTCTTTCCCGGCCCGCAACTCCTCCTGCGCCATTCTCCAACGGCGGCGGAGAAGTTTTTGGAGCCTGGTCATGGAACTCGGCCAATAGAGACAATAAGAACTTGTCCGTCAGGGACAGCTCTGGACCTCCTACTCGGCGCGGCAGCATGGCCCACATCCTCAACCCGACGGACACAGCCGAGAGGGATGACGAGGACGAGGATCCGCGCGGTGACGATGACCGCAAGCGCAAGCGAATGCAGTGATCAAGCTTGCGCGATGCTGTTTCGGCGCGCGGCGCATGTCGCGCCATACGGCGAGGCGCCCGTACATTTTGTGACAAATACCGGATGAAAGTCGGAAACGTTTCTTTTTGTATAGAGGAAGAAAGGTGGTGCCGGATTCGGGCCGGCATATGATTTTGCACGGATACCTCCTCCACGGCCGTCCACCAAAAACAAGACCCGAAACGTATACGAAGCCCACGGCCACAACATAATCGGATCAGGCTCCTGGTCAAACATTTTCTATCCCCAAGTGGACGGCCCATCTGGATACTTTTTCACAGCCAAAAGTTCTACACCCCTTATCGATTTACACGCATTTACACAGCATCCACGGCGGGCTTGCGTGACACAAAAAACATACACCACACAGTCTTAGTAATTCAGCGCCCTTGCGGTGTCACAGAACCAGACCCAGTGCGGATCGCGCGACCCTTTTCTCATATTTTCCCCTCTCAGATGGAGGCTGTATGTTTACTGTCGGAGCTCAGGAAGAGGAATACCCAACGGACACTCGGCGGCGGGATTTGTCAGGATTTGTCCACATGGGGGAATAATTGCGTTGGCGATACTGCATTTAGGATGCGTCAGAGGAATGAGGTGATTTGAAGCATTTTCCATATCTGATTAGTAGGAGCACCAGCTATGTGTGGCTTTCGATATGGTGCCATGGCGAATGCCACGGGAGGTCTTGGCCGGATCTAGTATGGGAAAGGTGCAATGCAACACCGAATACCAATGCAGAACATAATTTTCACTGATTTATGTTGCTGTCGACCGCGGTGACCGTCGGTATGGGACTTGGAAAATGCGGCCGACGACGCCGACAAGGGAGGCAGGCCGATGACGTTTTCCGTGAGATTAGGTCCCAAGGCTTCGGGTCAAGGGAGCCAGCCGCAAACAATTGTCGATCTGCGCCCTGTCTTCAGCGCCGTTTTGATCCGTTTCTACCACCGTCCCGGAGACGACGACGACGACGACGACGACAACCGTTCGGGCTTCTGCGCTTAGATGCTACCATCCACCTTCTTCGTCTTCTTCTTCTTCTTGTTCTTCTTCTTTGTTTTGGCTTCGCCTGTCTCGGGTACCACCGCCTCCCCTAACCGTATGGCATCTTCAGGTCTCGCTTCGGAGACGCCGGCCTCCGCGTCGCCTCGGTGCGTCTCGACATCCGGTACAACAACAACATCGCCCGCTTCGGGAATATCTTCTTCATCCATTCTGACCCTCTTGATCTTCTTCTTTCGGCCAAGTCCGCTCCGTCCCTCCTCTTCCTCGCTCTCCTCTTCTTGAACCCTGCGCTTCTGCGCCGTCTTGTTGTCGACTTCGCGGCCACGCTTGCCGAGGAGACGACGGCTCAAGTCCCGCGTTGCCGCGGAAGCCTGCTCCTCGGATTTGGGCGCGGCGTAGCCGAGGCCTGTGTTGGGGTTTTCGAAGCGCAGGTCGGAGTCGTCTGCCACGCGGGTTCTGCTGGTCGTTGTGGTCGTAGGCGTTGCCGCGGGTGACAGTTTCGTGAGGGAGGAGAATGTGCCGTTGTTGGCGGGTGCAGAAGTCGAGGCTGACGCTGACGAGGATGACCGCGCGAGGGAAGGGTATTTTGCGCGCATGGAGTTGAGGAACGTCGTCTGCTTTGCGGAGGCGAGGGATATCCTGTTGTAGATTGCGTTGAAGTCTGCTGAGGCGGGGAGCTTGGGCGCCGACGGGGCGGGTTCTGAGGAGGGTGCCATGGTTTGTCTGTCTTTTTCGAAGCGTCTGGGCTATTCTCGCGCCGTGTGAGATGACAATTGACTTGTTCGCGTGGAGGCAGGATTTGCGCTTCGTCGTCGAAGCTGTTTGCGACAAAAGAACTCGAAACCAAGGTACGGTAGGCAGAGATGGAAAACGGCATCCCAAAAGTTTTTTGGATAAGCTTGGTCCGTGCAGGGTCGTTATCGTTATCTTGAGCTCCGAAGCGTCAGAGCGCGCGCGCCTTATCTTAGCGTCTTCTTTTTGCAGCACGCTAAAGGGAGCAGGTTCAGGGGTTCGCAGGTGTCAGATGGAAGCCAGCCCGCGGAGAGAAAAAGGGGGTTGCGTCTTGCCGGGCTGAGGCGGTGCAACCTTCTCCACAGCTCACGCGGGCTTGAAGGATCGGTTTGGGTGTGTGTGCTTGCCTCCCGGATGCGGATGCGGGGCCGGGGCCGGGCCGATACGGGTACGGTTCGGGACGGTGAAAATGTGTCCGATTGATACGAGGTAATAATTTATGACGATGGAATGACAGTGATGAGAAAAGGAACGAACGTGTCATCCTCTGTGTCTCGGTTAATAGAATGCGAGGTAGGTTTGTGTCTGCGCTGAAGGACACGACGATTAAGCCCAGAATGGCATGCACACTGCGGTACATAAGCAGGCCTGGCATAAAGTAGGATTCGTTCTTGGCGTCTGCGTGCCTACCTCTGCTTTTCTTCCTCCTTTTTTTTTTTTTTTTTTTTATCTTTGGTGAGAATTTGCTGGACGTAAGCAAGACTTCTTTCTACCGCATTGAGAACGGGTTCTGTCTGACACGCGTTGCAACGTCCTTGGCGAGTGAGTCTGTGTAACAACGTTACCAATTGCACGACTTCATGACAATGTGACTAAGTCTCATGAACGGGTTTCATTTCAATCAGCGGAGGCTCGTAACATGGCGCATGCATCTTGGGGTTGTACGTTCGTAGTGAAGCTACATTGAGTGCATTACTCCAACAAATTCCTCCAGTCTTAAGACTCGGTGAAGTTTAGTCGTGTACCATGGGATCTGAGAAGATAGGAGCATACTTAACATTCGATGGGAGAAAGACTTGGGTCTGAACCATATTAACCACGCATAGACTTCGGCATTGCCAACGTCACTCCTTGATACAGACGGATTTGACTTCACGGGTTGGGATCAAGCTATAAATACGCAAACTTCACAGAAGCTCCTGTAAGAGAGGGCGTGGTCTAAAAACTTCACAACTCGGGAGCCGGTTTTCCAGGAAGCCACCAACAAAATGCTTCGCTCGACATTTCTGATAAGGAGACTCAGTTGCACCAAGAATAACGATAAATTTACATAAAGTACCACGCGTTTCATCTTCAATCGACAGGATATGGTTCGGCGAGGAGAAGGCAGTGTATCTTTGTCTTCAGCGCAGTGAATGAGGGATCGGGTTGATACTGTGTGATTCGGGGCTGACATCCGTCTTGCATTGCTCCAACATATTCTCATGCGCGGCGATTACTCAGTTGGGAAAATGCCCAGACTTTTCCATGCACCTTCATCACGCAGATAAGTTGATGTTGTGGACATGATTTATGTCGAGAAATTTTAAATAAGCCCAAACGGCTTTCTTGACACTAGGGTTGTGTTCATTTATGCTCATGCGTCCCACAGATTTGACCTCTTTCACCGACGACTTCTTGGTAGCGACTGAATAGACATCTTACCGTAAGCTTCTATTTACAGCAAATATGAATAGTCTCCCAAACTTCAGTCGTGGCAGCTACATAGACCAAGACCATGAGGATCTGATAACAACAAGGTATCATTCCCCCAATGCCTTCCCATACGACTCTGTGCTAATTTGCTCGTTTCAAAAGACCTGGCAGCAACAGCGGACTGTCTGACGACAAATTTCTTCATCTGATCACCAGCAAGCTCCTTAGAGACGCGCATATACAGGCTTGGGACCGTGAGGTGGGCGAGACGCTGTCCGCCATGATGACCATGGCCGGCTACGACGACGGAGCCAAGGCCATTCACCGGGGGTTCTTTGGGTGCCGCCGTCTCTGACTCTCTCGGACCGTATCCTTCGATTAGGACGCCTCGTTGGGAGAGTTTCATGACGGACGACCACACCCCCGTTGAGCTTAGCTGGGCCTGGCCTGACGAGCAGAGCACACCCACGGTCCGTTACTCGGTTGAGCCCATCGGATGGACTGCAGGTTCTGCCAACGAACAAGCTGCTGCTTCACTGCTGAACAGAACCAGATCGTATGCTCAAGGTCTCGATCTGTCTTGGTACAGACACTTTCTGCGAAGTACGACGATTTGTTCGAATCATGCAACCCAAATGTCCAGAAACGGATGTCAAGATTATGATATAGACGGAGCTGTTTCTTCCTCGCAGACCTTCTCTGCCTTTGACCTCGAGAACGACGGGAGCACCACGGTCAAGTCTTACTTCATACCCACCGTGAAGGCCTCCTCTCTGGGCATATCGAATTTGGACCTGGTTGAGCAGGCCATACAAACCCTGCAACCACTCGGCCCAGAATGTTCCTCGACAGCACTCATGGGCCAATTCAGCTTGCTCAAAGACTTCATTCTCTGCCATCACCCCACGGAGCAGCCGGTTGTGGAGATAGTCGCAATAGACTGCGTTAACCCGACCGACTCCCGCGTCAAGATCTACATCCGGTCCAAGAATACGACCTTTGGCAGCATGATCGACGTCATGAGCTTAGGCGGACGACTCCCCTTCCTCTCCGATACCGTCATGTCCTCGCTCAAGGAACTCTGGGTTGCAGTCTTTGGTTCCGGCGCAGAAGACAACGTGGGTGCCTTGTCGAGGCCGCTGCCCACGATAGATCATCGCACCAGCGGCATCCTGTACTACCTAGAGCTGAAACCTGGTGCTCCACTCCCCAAGCCCAAGGTCTATCTGCCTGTTCGACATTACGCTCTCGGACGACGAGCAGATTGCGCGTGGTCTGTCGGGCTTCTTGGAAAGGAGAGGCAAGTCCTTGGCAAATGATGTGACGTATTACGAAGGAGTAAAGAGTCTGTGGTGAGTCTGACGGTGGCATTCATGTGGATGAAATGCTGACTCTTGACAACGCAGCAAGCATCGGAGGCTCGAGGATGGACTGGGATTTCACACATACATCACCTGTGCTTCAAAGAATGGTTCAGTGGCCGTCAGTACTTATCTGAACCCTGAGCTGTACCACCCTTCGAGGTTTGAATGTACTGGGTCTCGAAGCAATCATCTATGACTTGAATATTAGTTTGCCGAGCGGCATCTCCTTTTTTGTCCGTAGGGACACAAATGCCGAGACGTACGTATAAGCGCATTGATACCACCAGATTTCCTTCTTGCTCGTAATTAAACCAAGAGTCCCAATATGTCTTACTTCATCTACTTCTACCATCCCTGGCTTATGGCCGCCGTCGCCCCTAGCACGCAAGCCACGTCGCTTCTTCCTTGCCATCTCCAAAAGCTCTTCCCACTCCTCCTCCGTCTGCGGGAATCCCTCTCCCGTCTCAGGATCCCACTTAGACTGCTCCCCAGAGCCAACGCCGCCCTGGCGCATTATATTCGTCCCCCAGAGACCAGAAACCCAAAACTTCGTGTCCTTCGATGGCAGTGGCGTCTGGCAACCCCAAGTATCGTCCTCCGGAAACTGCGCTCTTTCAGCAATTAGGATAACCTCCTGCATGGTAAGAAGCCACTCGTGAATAGCAGAGACGGCCTCGCCAAGGGTGACGTAGGGCTTCTCCAGCGCTTGAATGACCAGCTTCGGCTCCTCGGTCATGAACAAGTACGGTTGACTCTTGCACTCCTTGTCGCAGCAGTAGAACTTTGTAACGCCCGCGCGCTGAGCCTCCTTGATATTGTCCCAATCAAATGTATGCAGCTCCGTCATCCTCTCGCTAACCGCGAGGAATTCGTCAAAAATGCCGGCAGATGTCACGATGCGGGACAAAAGGGGGCAGGTAGCAGGCAGCAAGGCCACGGTGTGAAACTTCTTGGAGCCGTCCGGATTCTCGATTACAAACGGTTGACGGTTCTTGAACGCCTCGCCTGGGGCAGCTGTGCTATCGAGGACGGCGATGTCGGTGATGGGCCCGAAGATCGGCCAGACCAGGAGCAGGGCTCGGGGCACTCGAAGGCGGCGGCGGGCTGGACTTTGTCCCAGAGAGACCATCGTCGGACCGAGGGAGAACTGTTCGTTCAGTGATGTCCAGTGGCGAGTAGACGACGTCAATATGGGCCTCAGTTGAAGACATGGTGCAAGTGCCGCCAACTGCGACGTCTCTGACGTACGAGAGAAGGAGAGGAGGGTAAGGAAGCCAAAGGACCGGTGGTGAGAGAATGAAAAGGAGGCAGCTGAGAAGTTCTCATGCACATTGAAATACCTTAGGTACCAACAGATGGTTCATAGCGGAGTAGCAATCATAAGTTGCAATGACTGGCTTTGGCGGAAGGCGTCCATTTACTTACGTGGGTGTCAACTTACTATTAACCCCACACTCTCGTATTTGAGTATATTCGACCTCGATAGCCCCCGCGAATCTTTGTTTCTTCCACATGTCATTCAAAATATTATCTGAACCTGCAATTGAAGCACATCATCGCAAACAATATGCGTTCCTTCGAGATCCCTTAGCTGCAAACGTGGACCAGAGGCATGCTGTCTCAGTATATAACCCACCTTCTCACTCCAGGTTGCCACATACGACCATACCCATTGGAAAACTCGGGATCCCGTCCGCTCTCCCATAGATAAGCTAATGAGGGCTGGAGTAGTAGTCGGGTCGGTGACGACCGGCGAATGCCCGGTGTTGTATGTTTTTTTGATGTTTTTGCCTCTGTCCTGGTGGTGGGTGACGATAGCTTCATTTTGCCAGTCATGGGGGAAAGCGGGGCCATCCACAGGCTCACCCTGAAGGAACCTGTTTGAGACTAAGCACGGACTACGAATCAAGTATATGGGTTAGGAAAGCCACGTTCACAATGCTTTGAGGTTATTGGCGGGGTTGACTTTGATATGTGGTAGACGCTGTCGCTTATCTAAATGTGACAGCAATCTTGATGTGCTTCGTGAAAGGCACCTCAAGTTCGACCCCTGCCTGTTTGCCGTCAACAGAAATACTCTGTTTCCTCTCCCAGACCTGACTGGGAATTCTCACTTTGCCCTCAAGACCAAGCGGCGCCCAGGCCTCCAGCAACCACCCAGCCTTAAACACTTGCCACTTCACAACGATTCCATCCCCAACAGGCGTCGGTACTCTTCCTTGCGCCCATTTCAGCCCATTCACATCAAACCTCGGCCAGATCTTAAACTCCTTGAACCCAGGCGCGAGAGGCTCGACGCCCAGGGCGTACTGCGACAGTATCGAGGTCGGCCCGGCGCCAAAGAGCTGCGCGTATGAACAAAAGTTGCCTTTGAAAGGCGTGCCGTCGGGGTTGAGAAACTCCCAGGTAGTGCCGGTGAAGTGTTCGCTTGATTTGTCTGCCATGGGGCTAAAGACGCTGCGAAGTACGCGCTCGCCTTCGGCTGGTCGACCTGCTTGAAGCGCAGCTTGAATGTGGAAGGCGGACATTATGGGTGAGATGACGGGCGGTGGACCGGGGGTGTCTGGGCTAAAGGATAAAGGGGCCTCATTGATGGTAGAGGGCAAGACGAGGGAACCGAACTTGTCGAGCAGGCTAGGCATCTGCTCTTCTTTGCATATGTGTTTTGGAATAAGCCAGGCGTGCATTTCTTGCTGGAAGCCTTCGGTGCGAGTGTCTGTGATATTGTAGTGCCCCGAGTTTGCGTTGAAGCAGTGCTTCCGAACTGCGTCCACCATGCTTATGGCCGACATTGCGTAGGCTTCTGCTGCCGCTTTGTCGGAGATGCCTGGGCACAAGGCAATATGTGCGCAGGCTTCGAGGGACGCAATGAACAGGGCATTGCGCTTTGTGCTTTGTGGAGATGCCTGTTTGGAGTCCATTGTAATAACCGTAGTCTCCCGCGTCGAAGCCTTCGGCGCAGACAAGACCGTCCTTGTTTACTCGTGCTGAAACATAGGCGATGCAGCTTTTCAGCTTGTCCCAGCAGACCTTGACCAAATCATCGTCTCCGGTGTACAGCCAGTAGTCGTAGATCACAAGGATCAGGTAGAGAGAGTAGTTGATTGTCTCAATATTGAAGAAACCGTCAGTCAGATCTCTGGTGAAGTCTCGGCCAGGAGGCACCCCTCCCGGAAGAAGCCGTCGCCCTGTTTCGTCACCCTTAAACCTCAACATAGAAGCGGCAATGTTCCCTCGTATGTACTCTGAGCCCGCCGTGGAGTAGTAAGCTGATCGTCCACCCACGATGATGTCGGCTGTCCATGGGTATCGATCCCGCTTGGCACCATCAAAGACGAATGGAAACTGATTTGTTTTCAAGCCAAAGTCACCGAGAACCGCCGGTGTATTAAGCCCAGATTGGTAAAGTACTTCATTGTTAGGATTTCGGACCATGAGGTTTCTGAAGCGGCAAAGTTGATCTTGCCCTGCCCCGATGGCAACGGAGCCCTTGGGGAAATAGGGGAAATCGGGGTGATCGGGAGGAACTGCAAGACTTGCGAAGCCCTCTGTGAAATAGTTAGCGCAGCCACTCAATTTCTCCCAAAGCTGATATCACCTACCGACTTTCAGACCACCTTGCTTGAAAGTTACAACTTGGCTGTCGTCGATGCTGATAGACACAGGGGCGTCGCCGATGCAACTCGTCCTAATGCGCAACCATTCGCCTTCAGATATCTTGGGCTCAGGGATCTCAACTGAGGCAATGAGCTTTGGAATCAAAGTTGTTTGGGGCTTATTGTAGTAGCCGAACCACTGTTCAATGACTGCTTTGCCATTTTCAACATTGAGTTGGAAGAGCATTCCCGGCATGCCAGGAGACACGCGAACCATCCACGCTAGACCTCCCTCAAGGATCATGCCATCAAACTCCAAGTTGTAGTCCGTCCACAAATGTCCCCACCCATAAGCATTGCATCTTTGAGAGTTTACCAAGACACCCATGTCTTCCGATACCTGCCATGGGGAAGGTATAGAGCGAGCCGGTACGCAGTTCAGCTGCAACGTCCTCGCTCCATATCCCCAGAGCTCTGACAGAGTCTCGTCAGAGCATTGAAAGTATCCCGGAAGCTTATCAACCGGAATATTCGAGGTTGTGGGCACGAAGCCTACCAGAGAGATGCGTACGGAGCATGGGCTCTTCGTGATGAGAGAGACCTTGAGCCAGCGCTGGCTTCCTTGCACACACTTGGCCTCGTAGAAGCCCGGGCCGCTCACTCGAAAGCGAACACGGCGGGAGGTATCGGCACCGGCTGAGAAAGGGTATGGCCCATCGCCTTCGCCCTTTGTGATCCCTGGGTAACCTTCGGAAACCGTGAAGTCAATCAACGCCTTGTTGGAAGGCGTGCCAAGCCCGTGGATATGTAGCACTGGGATGCCTGTCACGGCGACGCCATAGTCAAGGGTGACACTACCACTCTCCTCTGTGGAGTTGGTGAGAGTGGCATAGCTATCAAGTCGAGAAGTCGTGAGGCTGTTCGCGGATGTTGTGTTGACAAAATTGTGTACCCGTTTTGGTACGAGGAAATCGGGGATCTCGTCTTTCGCGAAGAGATAGTTGGGCGAGAACGGCTCCGGTATGGTGGAGGGGATGCTAAATTCGAGCTGAGCCATCTTTGCGTACTTGAATACCTTCTCTGGCCTTTTCTGTTCTTATAAGCTTCCAAACCAGATCATCGTGCGTTGCAGTCGCGAACTATTGTCAAGCCTAAACACTTCGTAGTCGGCACATGGAAAGAATTGTGGAAGAGGTCTATGCCGTCGGCGCTTCCATCTACCGGATCAGACGACCGAGAAAGCTGCCGAAAGACCGGGTGTTTAGGACTCCCCTTTCGAGCATTAACCAGGCCAGCCGGCGAGCATAAAGCTAGTCTGCCCAGAGACCGGGCTTGTCTAATCTGATGGGAACGATGCTAGGTGGGCTAACCACGCAGGGTTCTTCCATTACGACTTGCTTGTCACCGCAAATAGTTGATGAGGCCTGTCTAGATGGAGTAATAACGGGGAAACCGCGGGGAAAGCATTGGATCACGTCGTCAGAGAAGAGCCGGTCTTGGTCATGAGGACGGCGAAGTTCGTCCTGAGTCGCTAATTCAAGTTTGCCGGCCCCAAACTCCACAAGCTCCACAAGCTCCACTGCAACCCCCGCAGTGCGAGCGCACCGGGGGTAGCAGCTCCCCTGTCAAAGTAACTCTCATTGGCCTCGTTCGTGAAGCTGAAGATCCGCAAATCCCCCACGGAGAAATACCCCTGTTACACAGCATTGTCAGACCCTGCCTGCCGCTCTTTGCAATTGAGTTTTGTCGCGTGTTGACGTATCAATACCAGAATGACGAACCCGAGAATCTGGCCATAGTATGCCCCGCCTTCCTGGTCTCTTTACCTGGTTCACGGCAGATGATTATGGGATCCTAGCCCGGACATGGTGAATCCCCAATTGAGTAACACCAAGCCCCCGGGCCCCCGCAAATGCCAAATGCAGTCATGGTACCCGCCCCTGTCTTCTCCAGATGTGTCAAGTGGCCCCTCGTTTTCTGGAGTCCCAGGTTCATATGAGCCGTAGCCTCGGGAACACGATCTCAACCTTCGGCAATAGTGAGGCTCGTGGCACCACCTCGGCGAAGCGAACGGGAGATGAAAACCTACCGTCGTGTATAAAGCTTGGGGTGGCCACTTCTATTGCGACGTGGTTGTCTACTCGCAAGCGTTGACTTGACCTCGATTAAAGTGAGGACATATCCGCAATTGCTTCATTAACCGAAAAGACGGCCTCAAAGAAGGATCTGCATGCGTCGTAGCATGTTGAAGCACCGACGAATGTCGACCTTGAGTCGGTCGCCAACCAACAGGACGAGAAGATCACTTTTCAGTACATATGGGAGAACAAGAGAGTTCTGGGATGGTGTAAGTTGATGAGCCTCATACGAGACAGGAGCTATCTCCAACTCACGCTCGCATCAAGGCCTCCTGATCTTCCTCTTGCCGGTGAACTTTGGCTACGAGGCCAGCACTGTTGGTAACCTGCTTGCTGTAACGCCCTTCCTTGAGGAATTTGGCCAGCAGGTCGACGGCGAATGGGTCGTCAGTGCCAGAGATCAACAAATCCTCAACGCAGCAACGACAATCGGTCTCTTCGTCTCGGCGTTCGCGACCGGCTTCGTTTCGGACAGACTTGGGCGCAAGAAGACTATCATCGGTGCCTGTATTCTTTGCGTTGCCGGCGTCATCGCGCAGTACTTCGCCAAGTCCATTATGCAGATATTCGGCGGAAAAATCGTGGCCTGCTTCGGCTTCGGATTGGGGCATTCTCTCGACCCCGTTTTTGTTGCAGAGCTCGCGCCTGTCAGGATGCGTGGGACCTGCTTGGCGTTAGTGGTGCGTCACACCTGGACTTAAATCCCCTTTGAAACATAACTAACCTTTCAAAGAACACTATGATTGTGATCGGCCAATGGCTCAACTCTCTGGCTGTCTTTGCGAGCGACAAGACGCACACTGACCAACTCGCATGGCGCATCCCTATCATCACACAGATCATCCCCCCGGGCCTGCTCCTGCTGGGTCTGCCTTTTCTGCCCGAATCACCCTCTTGGCTGATTATGCATGGAAGGCCCGACGAAGCGGCCAAGTCTTTCCATCGATTCAACGGACCCAACTTTGATGTCGATGAAGCCATGACCATCATGACGGTGGCGGTAGCCAAGGAACAGGAATCCTCGAAGGAGGGTGGATCTTGGCTTCAGTGTTTCAAGGGCCCTGATGGTCGTCGGACACTGATCATTTGTTTTGTGTTCATCTCACAACAATTCATTGGAGTGAACTTTGTGTCTGGCTACTTGACGTCAGTATAGAGACGGGAAAAGCAGTACGGTCTTCGTTGCTAACATGGCTGCAGTTACTACTTCCGTCTCGCGGGCGTCCAGAACCCGATCGGCATCGCTCAGGCAGCGTTTGCTGTGCAGCTCTTCGGCAACATGTGCTCCTGGCCTCTCATTGACCGCGTCGGTCGCCGCCCAATGATTGTCGGTGGCTGTTTTGTCATGACGGCCACTTTGTTGTTGATCGGAGGCATCGGCACGTTGGAGAACAACCAGAAGGCGTTGATGGCCACCGTCAGTCTGATGACGATCTGAGGCTTCTTGGTAAGCGCGACGCAGTCAGACTTTGTGGAATTGTACCTAAGTTCTCACAGTACCAAATGACACTCGATGCGACGAGCTACTCGGTTGGAGGAGAAACGCCAAGCAACCAACTTCGCCAAAAGACGTACAGCATCAACATCATGTCCGCGACAGCTGTCTCGTGTATGACGCTGCAGGTGATGCCATACCTGTGAGTCTAGCCCCTACCGATGCAAGAAACAGCATGAGCGCACAACGGACCAAAGCTAACGTTTGGTAAACCAGAATCAATCCTGACCAGGCTAATTTGGGGGCGAAAATCTGCTTCGTATTTTTCGGTCTGTCGGTGCCCATGTGCGTATACTTGTACTTCTGCTTGCCAGAGATGAAGGGTCGCAACTATCTCGAGCTGCAGGAGATGTTCCAGAAGGGTGTGCCAGCACGGAAGTTCAAGACGTATAAGTGTGATTGCATGCTTGATGCATCGCAGACCAAGGTGGTTGACCGCGAGGAGTAGTGGGTAGGAGCACTGCTGTGTTGACGACACTCAAGCGGGGCAATTTGTTCGCATATCTTAGATTCATAGCTTGGCTGGCGTGAATGGAAAGCCTTGAACTCGAACGCCCAAGGCGAAGCGAGGAGGTTGGTCCTCAGGCAGAAGCCCCCCTGAGGCAGCGACGCCCTCCGTCCCAACGCGGCCGCCCCATGGTATATGCCCCCAAAAGACAAGTCCGTCTATCACAACAGTCCGTGGTCTAGTGGGATCAGTATGCGCTTCAAAGCGAGTTTTTCTGAACGTCTCACGCCACGGGTGCGCAGGGTTCGAGACCTGCCGCCGTTAGAAAAATTCCTTGCATCGTTACACCTGAGGTTGGTAAGAATCTCCTGGGAATTTTCATAAGCCTCTGGCTGAACTTTTTTTGTTTTTTTTTTCAAATTTTATTTTCAGATTTGTTTTCGCATGTACCTCATTCATTGATTGCGACTGATGGCTTTGATGTGGTCGCGGTTTTCGAGTGTGAGTCGTCGACGCGAAGGGCAGGAGCTTAATTACCCCACACAAAGAGGTGTGGGCGTAGAACGACCCGAGAGTCTGGTACGCTAGGCCCGTGCGGTGCTAGCCCCCGCTTGTAACGGGGCACGCGCTGGTGCCCCGAGCTTCAGGGAAGAAGGTGTGGTCTAGGCAAGGTAGGCAGGCAGGCGTCAAGACCCAAGGTCCCAGGACCGACTCAGTGTCACCTCATTCCGGTCGGTAGCGAGATTGATTCGTTGCCCGCGACACGGGAATAATGCAACTGCCGATCAGTTTCTGATGTCCCGGCGATGTGCGATGCCCATCGGACTCTTCCGCGACCCAACGCGACCGCTCGGAAGAGAAGCTGCGATCTTCTTTCATATGGATAAGCTCCCCAACAGCGCTTCCATCTATTCTGATGCTAGGATTTCCCATGACGACATCTTAAGTGGTTAGGTCGGATCTAGTCACAAAGTCCCAGAACATTTCGGCCAAGACAGCCCGTCCCGGGAGCTAGTTCTTGTCGGATGCAAAGTTAGATTAGATGGATCCGTGATTCTGGGTTACAGGGGTTTTCTGACTCGTCGAGGAACATAGGGTCCAGGACAACGGAGGTAAGTCTGTGAATAGGACAAATGCCGTTGCGTGCGAAGCCGGGTCAGCACTAGAAGATTGGATAAATCTGGGGTGCTGATGGTCGGTGTTGACAGCGGTGGTGAAAGGGTGGCTCGTAAGCCCACCAATCCGGTTATCAGGAGCAACTTATGCGCCCATCGTCTGTGATGGAAGCATCTGAAACGTCTAGATTGACCGTATGCAGGTCGTAAAACCTCTTGAAAGGCCCGACTGTTTGGCTGCAGCGGTCCCACGCTCATGGATGACCGGGGTCCAGGTCGGACGGTTGGGTACGGTACGCGGGGGTTGGTGGCCCCGCCTCAAGAGCCCAGCATGATTGAATATTGTAGCGTCTTGTCTATAGCAGCTATCTTCCGCGACAAGAGAAGTCTCGATTGATGCAAGCCGATGTGATGGAAACGTTGCAATGCCATTCAATGTTGACAGTAATATCGCCCGGGTTCGGTAGCTCGTACATGGTGTCTTTCAGCCCGTTGGAACGCATGCACCATGGTGTGATCCACTGCGTCAACGGTCTCCAAAGCTAGGTATAGCCTTGTGTGGAGACGCCAAACCGCATGAGCTGCCTGTACTCTTCGATTTGTGCAAGAAAGGTTCTTCCGGAAGACTTGTGATAGCCGGCAGCCATCGACGTCAGTCTTCCAGGAAGGCTGAGCCGAGCAAATCCCGTTCTGCCTATTGCTGGCACAAGCTCACCAGTGCAAAGCCTCTTGTCAAAATTGGAACGCATGCTTTTGTGCGGGAGCAGCACGCAATCTGCTTGGCGCAATACTTCTGTTGCAATCTCGGCTGTGGCCATCCGTCGGACTGTGTTCGCGGTCAATCTTGGACGCATCTGGCTTCCAAACAATCCAGCTCACCGACACACCAAGAAGGGTAGCGTTGGAGTGGGTCGATGTCGGCCGACACTTCCTTGTGTGTCTCATAAGTTAAGCGACCCCATTCCTCGGACGTTTTCTGAGAGTGCCCGACTGGTATTCTTCTTTCCGTGCGTTAGATCAAATAGTGATTCAAGGCATTGGTTCTCTTGATGCCGGCACCGTTCAATGTGGCAGACTCGGTGATGGAGACATCGTCGGGGAAGAGAGGAGTGTCGGTGAAGGATGGCTGTCACCCACAAGCACTGTCCTAGTTTCCGAATCTCTGGGTTCGAAGATGGCGTACTTTCAAAGTCGGCCAACTGGCCATTCTGGGATACATAGCCCGCAGAGGGGGGCGGCCGAGAAGCCGGTCATGGCCGCCTGGCGGATGCCTCGTTCCAAGACCTGCAGAGTATCCATCTGCACGCATGAGAGATTAGCATGTGACGTTGAGGGAGAGGATTCATTCTGCCTTGAGCTCCGCTAGAACACAACCACGGCTATCCCAAAGAGCTCGGGCCAAGCTGATTGAAGTTGTGATGGTTGTCTGGTCAAAAGAGCGCGCCATCGCGACGACTGGGAATTGCAAGGAAGTGTTGTCGACGAGAAGCACCAGCTTCAGTCAATGCACCGGGGCGGGGTCGGCGGTGGGCACCCCAAGGTCCCCCCCTGGCGCTCCCCGCCATGTTCAGTGCCTGCACCGTGGCGCCTGCCTTGCACGGGGCGCCGCTAGCGTAGTGCCCGTGACAGGCCCCGCTGTGCTTGGTAGGGGTCTCCTTGAAGTCCCAGAAATTCAATTGAGGGTCCATGCATCTTCTTCCAACTACACACCACTCCAAGCTGCCATCCTCGTCCATGATACAACCTCCAATCCGGGTGCGCCATTTCTTTCCACATTGCTACGCCGCTCTCCTGCATCCATTGATTGGAATAAGAACGATTCTGACAATCAATCAGTCTGCCTTAGGGGCCAGAGGCACCACGGCCCCAGTTATCCGCTGACCATGCGTTTGCGAGATCCTGGAAACGTCGTGGCTGAGGATCACAGTTATCGCCACCCTTGAAGCCCTTGGCTGTCTACGGATCCCTCTTCACTCTGGAATCACACGGAACACGGACACGGAAGCGGGAATTGGCACGTTTGTCAAGACTTTGTCCTGCTACAGGACTGGCCAGCTTCCGCTTGAGGCATCGCTTATGCAGGGCCAATCCCACGGCACATCGCCTCTGTTTCCGACAGGCAAATAATTCGTTTCCAGTGTCCGCAAGGCATTGGATAACTCATCGCCGAAGAGAGAGCGGTGAACTGGGGTAAGAGCGGGGATCAACATTCAATCGACGTATCTTCTACAGTCTTGGGGGCCGACGCACCTCTGATCCCTGCCATTTCTGGCATCCACCATCCCAGAGCCGCCGCTCCTTTTTCGCGAATTTTCTCTTGCATACCACCATGCAGCTCATCACACATTACTGACCCTCCATTCGCAGAAGGCCGAGCCCCGATTCAAGGAACGACCTCGACCCAAACTGTGGCTGTTGCCTTCTCTCTTTGCCTCTTTTCATCACGTTGGCCAACCACGTGAGCACACCAGCCACACCCAGTATCCTCGCGCGGCCTTTTGATTCCAGCTCTCACGCACTAGCCACACTTCTCGCCGAGTTCTGGCGGATGCTCCGCAGTCGCTCGGCAACTCTACTTGCCAACCAGTTTTAGTTGCATCGCAAACGCACCTATACACGATGCCACTAGGCCAATTCGTTGGAATTGGTGCCTCGGCTATATCCAGCCAGCGAGCTGGACGGGTTCCTTGGATTGACATATCCCAGCGGCTTTGTGGCTGATACTTTGCATCCCGTGTTGAGGATGACAGACGCCTGGCCGGCCTCGTGAAGCGCCTTCCCCGGTTTCCATACAACAGTTCAGAGACGGGAAATGAGCAGAGAGCCTTGGGCTTATACCACGGAGACGACTCCAGGATAGGCTTGGTCAGCCTTCTGACCAGCCGCAGACCGGGTTTTTGGGCCGTTGGGTAGGGCTTTGCGGCCCGCAGCCTTAGGGATTATGTGCCGGTCTGGTACTAAACTCAAGGGTGGTTATGAGGCACAAATTGTGCTCAGAAATGCTCAAGGGCCGACTTTCTAGTCGGCCGCAAAAGGACAAAACAGCCAAGTCTGGGTGCGGACAACTGCGAATCGGGCGACCCAGCCTGCCAGCCTAAGCTCTCGATGTTGATTGCACCTGCCCAACGTGGCTGGGCTCTCGAAGCAGTTGAATGGTGGTGTCATATCACTTTGGATGGCTGGTTCGCCATTTCTGGTCATCTCTCTTCTTTCAGTCAGCCCGTGAGTGCTCGAGACGAACGTTATTTCAATTTTTGAGTATAAGACCATCAACTGTCCATCGTCACCAACAACATCTCAGTCTAATTACATTGTACTCGCTGATGGCTTCCTACAGTTCAAATTGTTCAACCCTATCTGTAGTTTACCTTAGTTCATGCCATAATGTCACCCTCTGAGCGGAGACCGCCCCTTGAGAGGTGAGTTTCCAGTTGACTTCATGTCATGATTTCAGGCTTGCTAACCTTTTGCAATCAAGCAGTGTCACTCCATCTATTCGATTTGACCCTCTCGCTGCCCGTATTCCACGCCAATCACAGCTTGCGAGGTTCCAACGCGAAGACCAGAGAGAAGGAAACGCTCTTGTCACCCTAGCCGACAGTTCTCGAGATGTGAAGTCAGCGATTCAATACCACAAATCCCGTGCCGCTCAGGCGATCAAGCTTTTCCAGAAGAAGTTTGGGAAGCAGCCCGAGCAACCGTCGACAGAGTCTGCCCAACCAGACTCAAAGGGGCGCAACTCGACCTCACAGGAGGAAGCGAGTGGCTGATGAGCATGTCTCACCGCCATTCGGAGGCCGACGAGCCCAATCGGACCCCCACACAAGGCTCAGATGCAAGTACACAATGCTTCAAGTCATGGAAGGAGGAGCAAGTTGTGCAACA